TTTGATGCCTCGCAGATCTCTCAGGCTAAGTTCAATCAGGCAATGGCAGGCTGCTGGTTCAAACCCCTTTCCACTGCCCACAGCCCAGATTAGCGAGTATTATATTGAAAATTGTTGATAGATTTCCATTAGGAAAACATTTGCCAGACGAGCTGTCGTAGTCTTTGCGTCTTTTTTGGCAACTGAAAAAGTGGGCAGCCGGTTCGAATCCCCCAACTAGTTGGCTGGTAGGATTACTGCCTCATTTATTTCTATTTATACATATTTCTATATAAGGAATAAATATTCCTTAGATGCACGGCACATCCGTTCACCTTGTGACAGTTACTGAGGCAACCGAAAAAGAGAGGTTGCCGGTTCAAATCACAATCTACTGGCTGTTTGTACTATAGCCTAGCCGTAGCTCTTATTTTCTAATGCTATTTAAAGTGTTGGGTTAATAATATTTAATAAAGTTGTCCACTTGTCAAGGTTTCATTCAGGCAACTTGATAGAGAGGTCGCTGGTTCGAATCGCAGTATGTTTTTCGTCTCAAACCATATTGATGATGCTCCGTAAATGATATTTCGCTTTCGTCGAATTAAACTTTCGAACATTATCGAGTTTCTTAAATCAATTTAAAGCCTTCGCAAACATCAGCCGAATATCTGAACAGCGCGAACATCAACAACAATAACAGAAATACCAACAAGAGATGTTCGCCTTGTCCTTGTTGTCAGTTCCTGTTCCAATAATTTTGGGTAAATGCCCGCCAAAAAAAAAAAAATAAGAAATATATATAAATAAAAATAAAAGAAATGTATTTTTATTTATGCCACACTTTGGGGGGCACCTGCCCCACCGTACCGCCCCATCCGCCCGCCCAGTTGTCAACCGCACAGGCAGAACGCGGATTCTGTTGTCAGCTTTGTAACTTTATTAAAAGCATTTGGAGCCAGTGGAAATGGTACGTGCCCATCGAGGGGCATGCCCTCCACTTTGGCCAGGTATAAACAGGGATGCCGCTTAGCCCAGGCAGAGGTGCGAATACACTGAGAGAAATGCGTGTGCAAGAGTTTCCAATTGTTGCATATTACCGAAGTGTAAAACTTAGAAATCGAAAGTTATTTCAAAAGGGGGTTTTAGAGGCATTTCAAAGGGTTTTAAAAGCGGTTTAATGTGGGTTTGAACTGGCTTTTAGCTAGGCTTTGAGGAGTTTTAGAAGCTGTTATGAAAGTCTTTTGAAAGTGTTTCAAAATATTGCTCATATGCATGGAGCTTCAATTGAAGTAGTTCACAAGTGACTCAAAAGGCCTTTTAAAGCTAGTCTAAAAATAGTTCCAAATAGGCTCAAGCATGATTCAACTGTTTGAAAACGGTTCGAAAAGTGTTAAAAGCAAGTTAAAACTAATTTTTGTAATGATTCGAAAGCGCTTCCAATGTGACGTCAAAGACATAAAAAGAACTGGTTCCAAACATGCATAAAACTGGTTTAAGAACACGCTGAAAAATACTTCCAAAAAGTTTTCAGACAATGCAAAAACGCTAAAAAGTGGCTGAAAAGGAAAGCTAAATTAGCGAAAAATAAAGATTCGAGTGAATAAAAGCCATGTTAACCGATTGGCTTTAAGGAACCGGTTTGAACTAGTTCGCGGGCATTTTCAAAGAAAGAAACCCAAATGAACTTCTCTCAAAACTACGACTTCTTTTTGCTTAGATTCTCAGTAGTTGTTGTACTTTTTTTTCAGTGCATTTCTTGGCAAACATTTGCGATGTTTTGTTTTTTTTTTTTATTGTTTTTTTGGTATTTGCCACATTTCCATAAATTGACAAATTTTATGACGCCAATAGGCAGCGGCAGCGACAGCGACGTCAGCCGCGGCGCCATTGACGCGCCATCGACGTGTCACAAAAAAGAAGAAGAAGAAGCTGAAGAAGAAGCAGAAGAAGCAGAAGCGGAACACATATGCGTGGCACACCGAAGAGCAAATACTCTTAAGAGCCGCGTGGCAAAAGTTGCTGATGTTGCACAGAAATACAGCAGAAAGCAGCTTGAAAGAGGCTAAAAGACTTACAAAATAAAATATGGTGCGACTCGCAGATACCCTGTAGCCAGTGACACGCTGCCTTCAATGCAACGAAAAGACACACTCAATATGAAATTGACTGACTGACAGACTGATTGAGCAACTGATTGACTGACTGAGGGACTGATTGACTGACTGACTGAGGGACTGATTGACTGACTGGTTGAAGAACAGACTGAGTAACTGATTGATTGACTGACTGAGGAACTGATTGACTGACTGGTTGAAGAACAGACTGAGTAACTGATTGACTGACTGACTGAGGAACAGACTGAATAGCTGATTGATTGACTGACTGAGTAACTGATTGATTGACTGAGTAAATGATTGAACGACTTGCTGACTGAGTAACTGATTGACTGACGGACTAACAGCCTGATTGATTGAATGACTGACGGACTCGCTGATTGACTAAGCAACTGACTGATTGACTGATAGTCGGATAAACTAACTGACCGACTGAGTTACTGACTAAATGACTGGGTAATTGATTGACCGACTGAGTAACTGATTGATTGAGTGACCGATTGAGGAAATGCCTTACTGATTGACTGAGTAACTGACTGACTGATTGAGTAACAGACTGATTGATTGACTGACTGATTGATTGACTGACCGACTGACTGACTAACAGACTGATTGATTGACTGACTGACTGATTGAGGAGGAGAAGAAAAGAAGAAAAAGATGCAGCTGAAATATTTTATCGCAAATTCTGGCTGCAAATCAAACTCATGTAACGCCATTAAATCAGAGGTTGCTGGTTCAAAGCATGCTGCCTGTCTAGCTGATGTATGTGAATATGCAGATGTCGCCTGCTGTGTGACAGAAAGGTATATACCCTGCCTGATAGCATAAATAGGGCATTCGAAAAATTTGTGTCTTTGCAGGTGGGAAATTTCCGTTGTTGTTGCAACAATATTTGATAATTTGTTGTGCGCGGCTGTCAGGAAGTGCTGATATGCTCCGCCCCTCCCCCTACCTATCGCCCAGTCAGGTGCCATTCCCCCCAACCAGCTCCCCCCTTCCTCCGTGACAAGACAAAGGACCTTGGCCTTATCTGTCAGCTCAAGGTGCCCCGCGTGGAAGCTAATAAACGGCCCAACTTGCCCCCTGACCTCTGCACGACCCCCCTCCCCCCACCAGCCAATTGCCCCCCCCCCCCCCCTTTCGTGCCAGCAATTGCTGCCGGCTCATTGACAAAGTGTCTGCGAAATGTTAACGTTAATTAAAGCAAATTTCGTTGCCCCCAAAACAAAGCCGGGGGCGGGCCTTGACCTTGACAATGGGCGACATGCGGCGTGTGGCATGCGGCATGCGCTAATTCATATTCAAAATAAGATTTTCTTGGCTTGAATAGTTTTTCTCACTCCATTTTTTTGCTGGTATTTTTTTCTTTTTGGTATTTTTTGCAGCTCTCTTCAACTTTGCCGCAATTTGTTGCGTGCTTGTGGCATTTGCTGCACATTGCACGTTTCGGATTGCAGAAATTCAAGACTTTGCCTTTCAACACAATTTAACACACACACACACACACACACACACACACACACTTTAAGCCATTTAATTGCCAGGCATGATAAAAACTTCGGAACAATATAAAACCGCAGAAATAAACCAACAAAATAGCTTGAAAAAGGCTAAAAGGCTTACAAAAAATGCGCTGAAATTATTGCGCGACTAGCAGATACCCTGTAGCCAAGTGCCAAGCTGCCTTTAAGGGAACTACACTCAAAAAAATTTTGCATATTTTTGAGCTTATTTTCTAAAAAAAAGTCCAACAAAATTTGCATAATCGATTTATTTTTATTTAAATTTTCTGAATTTCGAAATATTTTTTGAGCTTATTTTCTGGTTATTGAGCTGACAATTTTTTTGAGTGTGTGCAAAATTGAATCTGGGAAAGTTTTTGGAGTTTTTGAGCATATATTTACAGGCTATTTAAAATGTTAAATATTCCAGATGTATCTCTACAGGGTATACACGAGTCTATAATAAATTTTCTATATAATTTTGTGAAATAAATACAAAAATGACTATATATATTTATTAATTTTTGATTTGCCTCCTGCTGCCTGTCACATACAACCGCTCGAAACGAACATACCCCATCTGGGGCATTTGGTTACAGGGTATAGAAAAAACTAAAGTGCAACCGCATCGGGTCAAATGAGCAAAAGGCAAATAATGCGAGCCGCATGCAAATTGCAAAGGCAAAAGCTCGAATACAGTAATAATTAATAATAACAACTAAGTGTGACAGTGGAGCCTCGCGAAAGAGGAATTTTTTCAATTTATTTATAAATTTATTTAATTATATATTAAAACATTTAAAAGTAAATTCAAAGTTAAGATTTGCTAAAGACAAATTTTCAATTTTAATGCAATTATTTGAAGGTTTTCATTAATTTCTTTTCATGTAACACGAAAAATCCTTAAATATCGCTTAAGACGCGATCAATTTGGCACTCACGACGCAATCACGCACATCTTTAATTGAGCGGCTATGTGCGTGTGCGTGTGTGTGTGTGTGTGTGCTTGTGCGTAAGCGGGCTGTTCCTTAAACTGTAACAATTACTCTTAAGGCTTTTGGCCCGCTCTGCATGCCGCAAATCAAGTCAAAGAACCGCAACAATTGCTACTCCCATTGCCAATTACAGCAGTTAAATTGCAGCAATGACAATGCAAATACGCACACACACATACGCATAGAAAGACGCAGCAGTGCACAGCTGCCGCCCATTTAAGAGCGTACGCCCACGCAACAGCGGCCGCCGTTCTCTTAGCTCTGGCATGAGAGCCAACATGTGCTTAACAGGTTGCATGGCGTTTAACAGTGCGACTGCAAACGGCGTCTGTTGTCGTAACAGGCGCTGTGCCCGACGGCAGCCAACAAGCGCCATAACAGTTGCCACTGTTAACGCCAGCTGCCCTGTTAACAGATGCAAAAGCAAAGCCGAACGTGGCGGTCGTGCAGCGGTTCGGTGCGAGTGAGCGAGTCAGAACGTAAATTCCGTAAATTTTTGTGATTCTTGGTAAATTTTGATTTTCGCCGGTAAAGAAAATAAAAAAAAAGAGTACAAAAGCGAAAAGAAATTGAAAAAATTGAAGAAAAAAAAAAGAAAATAATTATTCTCAGTTAAGTAAAAGAATAAAAAGAGTTGCAAAATGCGCGCGTGTTTTCTGCGTTAAAAATCAAAGTTAATTCTTCTTTTTTTTTGTTGTTCATTTGAAAGTGAGTGCGAAGAGCAAAGCAAATACGAATGCAATAAATAAATGCAAAATGCAAATTAATCAAAATTAATGCACGACGAAAAAAAAGCAAAAGAAAACAGCAAAAAGTCAAAACAGAAGCTGAGCCGAAGCGGAGCCAATAGCAAAGGTAAAGAAATAGATGAAGAAGAAGAAGCAGTATATAAAATAAGGAATTACACAAAAAAAAAAAAACATAACCAAAAACAACAACGGGCAAAAGTGCAAGCGTGTGCGTGTGTGTGTGTGTGTGTGTGTGTGAGGCAACCCGTTGAACCGGTTCAGCCAGCAAATGCAGCAGCCACCGCAGCAACAACAATAACAAATGGAAATAGCAATAGCAACAACAACTATACAACAGGAGCGCATTTTTTTTTTCGTATTTTATATTTTGTTTTGCGCGCTTTGCTGCATTATTCGTGCGTGCGTGTGTGTGTGTGTGTGTGTGTGTGTGTGATTTCTTAAGCGATCTCGCGCTCACGCTCTTTTGCATGTGCAGCATCAGCAGCCGCTAACTGCGCGTGCAGCTTAAATCGCTCTTAAAACTGCAATAGCAACAACAACAGCCAGACAACGTGTGCGCTCTTTAAGCGCAGCTTAATTGCCGCTCTTCATCTGAGCAGCTGCGTTATGCGTGTGTGTGTGTGTGTGTGTGCTGGCCTGCGATCAGAAGCTCTCGCTCTTTTGCATGTGCAGCCTCCGCCAACGGCGCTGCGCTCGCTCTTTAATTGCATTTGTTGCGCTGCGCCTGCAGCTTAAGTTGAATTGTTGTGCTCTTAAAATAGCGCCTGCAGGCTGCAGCTGGCTTTGCTGCTTAAGCGAAAACTTGCTCTTAAAGTGTGTGTGAGTGTGTGTGTGTGTGTGTGCAATGATAATCAAAATGGCAAAGAGCAGCATTTAAAATAACAATTATTAGGTTTTATGCCCGCTTAACCGGTTCGTGTCAGCAAACAATAACAACAAAAACGAATTAAACGTTAAAGAGAAGCAGCCAAAATGCAGCCGCAAAACCGCACAAAACGGCCAATTTAAAAGCCAAATATGAATCACAATGAAAATTGCAATTGGCACACACACACGCACACATGCTAAAGAAACTTGTTCTTCATGTCAAAAAAAAAACAACTATAAGAAAGCAGCGCTGCGGCAGCGACGCGTGTTGTGTTTTGGTAAAGCGCGAGTACAGTTAGCCGAAAAAAAAGGACCAATACATGCCTGAGCTGCGCTGCTTCTTTTGCGTGCGTGTGTGTGTGTGTGTGTGTGTGTGTGTCTGTGCTTTTAATGAAGAGACAAATAAGAAGAAGCAGCAGCAGCAGCAAAGGTGATTAGCAGAACTCGCAAGAGAAGACACGCACAAAGGCTCACAACAGCAGCTGCTGTGTGATAGAGAGAGGGAGAGTGGGTGTGGCGGGAGGGAGGGGAGGGGCATGAAATTAAAATTGCTGTCAACCAGCAAAAATGTGAAATATTCCATGTAATTTAAGGTGAATTCTGTTAGGAGAAGAACACAAACGGAACACATGACAAATTTGACAATTGGTGTAGGAGTAGGGAGGGGGCGGGAGTGAGTGCGAGCGAGAGAGGGCGTATGCCTTTAGCTCAGCTGAGCCGCGCCTGTGTCAAGTGTTGCAAAGCGTCTTGGCAAAGATTTGCGAGCTAACAGTAAAAAGAAAACCCAACTTGAACGAAAGAAGAAGAAAATACAGAAATTACAGCAAAAAAAATGTATGAAAAATTCAAATTGAAAAAAAAAAGAAATGCAGAAAAAAAAAGTGTTCTCGCTCTCTCTTCCGCTCTCTCCCGCTCTCTCTCTAGAATCAAGTGGCAATGTTCTTTTCTAGCCCGTGCAATGCCGGGCAATAATATGCTTGTCAAAGCAATGTTAAAATCTTCAAAGTGTTTACAAAACTTAATTCTCAGAATTATTTGCAATTCCCACCTTTCCCCCACCCCCCCCTCCCCCTGCGCTCTATTTTCAGTCGATTTTCAACAATTTTCGCCGTGAATCAATCAAAGTTCATAGAGAACTTTTCAGGCTGCTTCTGCCTCTGCTTCTTCTTCATGGAGAGTTATTTTTGGAAAGGCAAACAGTCAAGTCAAGCCCTTTTGCCATTTCTTACAGGGTATTTCCCGCTTTCGGTGTTCAATTGAAAAACTAATCAAAATTTCATCGTTTTTTATCCGCCGGGCATTACGTGAAACAAGTCTATTAAAAGGCAACTTTTTTTCTCCCTTTTTTTTCAATGTTTTTTTTTCGCTTAATTTTTGGAGATTTGCTTTTGTCGGAAGAGCGTGACGGTGGGGAGGGGGGGGGGGGGTTGGTGCTGATCACGAGTCTGAGAACTCTTTTTTTCTTAGCTTCTTTATATTTTTTGCATGCTTCTTTTGCAGCTTCTTCCTTTTGCTTTTCTCTTTTTTTAAAACTTCTTTGGCTTCAATTCTTTTGAGGCTCGGCTAACACACACACACGCATTCACACACACATGTAAAGGCAGAGGCAAAGGCAAAAAAAACGCCAAAAAGGAAGTTCATGCGCAGCGCAAAACGCGATTTAGTCACAAATTCGTGATCAACAGCCAGAGTCAAGAAAAATCAAAAAATAAAATGACTTTCTTATTTTAAGTTAAAAAAAAAGCGAAAATCTCTAGAGGAAATTCCATTGCAAACCCAAAAAACTGTTATTCGTTTCGAGATTTGATTTTTTATTGAAGCTCGTAAAACCCAATCAGAATTTACTTCTCGACTCGTATGAAATATATATCTACAATAGGTACATATTCAAAAGAACAAATTTGTATTTTCATGCACTAGAACTAAATCTGATAAAAATCTTAATCTAAATCTGAAGAGCTAAAACTTGCAAAACTGCATGAAAATTAAAAAAAAAAAATATTTATTAATGCTTGCATTTCACTTAAGTACGTGAAAATTGTGAGAATTGTGCTTCAAGTGAATTGCTGGCAATGTCCAATTGGAATATGCAAATGTTCCAATTGGCTAATCGGCATTTGTAGCGCATAAACGGCGCCAAGAAACGGGAATTGTTTTTTTTTTTTCTGCGCGCAGCGCCAAAAATGGAGCGACAACAACAACGTTGATCAACACTGAATGCAACAAGCGAACTACACAAAACTGGACGCTGAGAGCGAGAGAGGGAGAGGGAGCGAGATGGAGCGAGAGCGGGAGCGGGTGAGAGAGTCAGGGCAATTCGTGCCTTGCTGGAGTTTGGGTTTACGCGCTAAGCCAAACACAACAACAACAACAACAACAAGCGAAACTTGTTTTTGGCGATGATTAAGGCAAGAAGAAGCAGAAGAAGAAGAAGAAGGCGAAGAAGAAGTAGACGAAGAAGAAGAAGAAGAACGACAACAACAACAACAAGTCGTGCAGCTGCCGCAGTCGCAGTGCTGCCTTTTCTTCTTTCTGCTTCTTCTACTTAGCCATGTGCTTCTTTCTCCTCCTCCTCCTCCTCCTCTTCCTCTCCTTGTTGTTGCTGTTGAACTGTCCCGAGTACAGTTTGCCGCTTCCTGATCAATAAATTAACATTGAGAAGACTTTTGTGAATCGAGAAATATATACATATGTAAATTTATATGAATTTGAGATAAACTGAGAGGGTTTGGAAACTGGAGAGTAAAAACTCTCCAGACTGAGAACTTTGTAGAAGCTCAAACGAGCAGAAAATCTCTTGGAATTGTGCTTCATGGGAAGTCTCAAGCGACAAAGTGTTGCAAAATGCGAACGCAAAAACAACAATGAGAAAGTTGAATAAAGAAAAAAAGCGTTAAGTATTCCCGGACTTAAAGAACAAGCAACAAGTAGAGAAATAAATGTTGCGATACAAAATCAAAGATTACCTAAGGAAATCAATAAGAAAATATTAAGTCGAAAGAGTTGCAAAAGTATCTCTGCAGAGCAAAGCAAACATTGTTGGAATATATCTTAAATAAGAAGTCTTGACTTATAAAAGAATATATATAAGTATATTATAGAGCAGAAACTATATGGAGACAAGGACGTATTAAGTATAGAGCATGTTTTGTGACTGAAGTTTATGCAATCCGAACAATTCGAAGGAAACTTAAAACCAAACAAACTGAATTCAAATACGTTTTACAACACATAAAAGTGCCAAACGATAAAAGAGACTCGGAAACAGACTCGAGTGGAGTTCCAGGAAAACAAGAAGAAGAGCTCTAGAAATTGCTTAACAAACAGCTTGAGCAAACTGTGGGAACGCGCGTAGTTTGTCGAAATGTGCGAAAAGATGAAGAAGAAGAAAAAACAGATGTTAGCCAACACTTAAATTATAGTGTTAGCACAAGCTCAAAGTTGACATAAGCTAGAAGAGTAATCGAAAGCGAGCCGGGTTTGAACCGGCAAATTCACTTAAAAAAGAAACTTCTGCAAGAGAACTAGATGAAGCAAAGGAAAGTTCAATCAATTTAATAATAATAATAATTAATAATTAATAAAATATGTAATTAATCAAATTAAATAATTAAATAAACAGCAACATATTGCTGTAGTAATGGGAAGTACAATAAGTATTTTGTTTTTTTTTTTTTGCTTTGCGCGTATCTGTCAGATACAAAATCGAAACTCGAATCATTCACAATGCGTTTCGCCAATTCCAATTGGAATTTGCGCTGTTTAAGCGAACAGTTACTTTATGTTGTTCTTCGGCTTGTTGGGCCCACTCCAATCTGGCAGCGCTATGTACAACAGTTAATTTCGTTTGGTTTTCTTTTTGGCTTTCTTTGTTGTTTCAATTGCGTTTTATTGCTTCTGTTCTGCTTCTTGCTCTGGATATTGCTTTTGATTCATCGCTTAACATTTTTCATATATGTGTGAATGTATGTTGTTGTTTTTGTCTTCTGTCTGTTTTATCTTATTCTTATTTTTTGTTTTATTGTTTATTGTTCTTCAGCGCCTACGCGCCACTTGCCGCTCTCTTGTGCTCTCGCCCCCTCTCGCATTCTGTTTTGTTTACTTCTTCGTTTGCCCTGCGCCGCATCAGCCGCATCTAGCTATCTCGCTCGCGCACGCTTGCGGCTGATCAATCGAACTCCAACACGCAACTCGAACCGCAACCTTGTCAATTCTTTCATTGATGCTCGCACGATCTCTACCCATATTTAATACGCTCTCTCTGTCTTTTGCTCTCTCTCTGCAGCTCGTGATTGCTTTAAGTGCGCATCCCCCGAGGGATTCTCCATGGATCTAAGCCGCTTGCCATGCAAAACAATTATCATAAGGTAAGTGAAGAGCTGATATTCAATGGACCACTAACTCTTGTCCATGATTCAACAGCTTGTGAGCGCGTGATCAGCTCTTAAGTGCTGTTTGTTTTTAAGAGAACTTAACAGAGCATTTAAAGAGTTGATTAGAACTGACAGAATGCGTTATTTTACAGTATATGAATGCTAAACTGTTATAAATCAAGCTAAGGGAAGGAATTATGCTTAATTCTGGGCACTATTTACACTGGTGGTACATAAAACAGGTACACCAATTTAGCTGGACATTTATACTCCAAATGATCTTTCAATCAATTAGTTATATATCTTATACGGATGATACTAAAACTGGGCTCAGCTTGAACCAGGCTTAGCTTAAACTAGCCTCAGCTCAAACTAGTTCGAACTCCCTATATACCCTATATCTATATGAATATATATAGTTGGCATGGAAACGATCTGTCGCATACAAGTTTTATATATACAAAATGTGATATAGATATAGAATTATATATAGAATTATCGAAATCTCTTCTTTTTTGCCCAGTTCGTGTTTCTCTCTGCAATAAATCGTAACGTTCCTCCTTGAGAAATCTTATCTTCTCGTATTCCTCTATTCTCTTAATTCTATCTTTTTATATTCTTTTCTACCTCTCTTCGGGAAGTGTTTATCCAAATATATTTTCCACTTTGCGCCAAATCGTATATATCCTTTCTCTTCTTCTCTTAATCTATCTATCTATCTTTATATTCATGTATCCTTGAAACTCTCCTTCTTCAAGATATCAAGATTCAAGTTATCATGTTTATCCTATATATATCCACGTATATATCTATGCCTGAAGCTAGTCTTGAATACTTTCTCTCTCCTTCGATATATTCATATTTTCTTTCTACTTCTTTTTTTCAAGTGCCTTCTTTTGATCCGCTCAGTTCTTAACTTAAAAGATAAATAAAACACTTTAAAACTTAAATCAAGTGAGCTTCATTCTCGATTTTGTTTATAATTAAAAAAAAAAGGGAAAAAACAACAAATTTTATGACTTTAAAAATGATTTTCGGGTCTCAGTTGAAATACTTTTTTTCGTTTCGTTCTTTTTTTTTTCGCTGAGCGCGTTAATTACTTAAAACAACAAGAAGAACAAAAACAAGAACAAGTGTGACCGATCGAGTGCGAAAGAGAGAGAGAGAGAGAGAGAGAGAGAGCGAGAGGGTAGGTAGAGTTAGAGGGAGAGAGGGAGAAGGCGCGCTGGGAACAGACGTGGAAAATGGCCCACATATGGTTTAACGTTGGGATATCAAATAACGCGAAATATGTTGTCTAGACCCGGGTCTGGTGTGTGTGTGTGTGTGTGTGTGTGCGTGAGTGTGTGTGCGGCTATTGAACTTTAGTTTTGGAAGCAAACTCTGGAGCGTTGACAAACAACGCATTCATTCAACATGAGCTCAAGTGTGTGTGTGTGTGTGTGTGTGTGTGTGTGTGTGTGTTGGGTGTGTGTGTGTGTGTGTGTTGGGTGTGTGTGCCTGTTACTCATATATCATTTGCTCATAAATTTAAACGTCATTTGACAAATATGGCGTCACACGAAATGTCTTCGATATGGCGAGTGGAATTCGAAGCGGAATTCAAATGATTTATACACACATGCCACAAGCAGCAGCAGCAGCAACAACAACAACAATCACTTGCAACAACAACAACAACAACAACAACTTGCAACAAGAAGAAGAAGAAGCAGCAGCAGCAGGAGGCGGCTCAGTCAGGCTCAGGAATTGTAGCAATAATAATCATTATATTATTTTAATATAATAACAAACCTTAGACACGACACGACAATTGGAACTGAAGCAAGTCGAGCATGCACGACTAGCAGCTACCCTGTACATGCGATCAGGCCAAGGTTCAGAAGAAATTTTGCCTGCAAAAAGTTTCTCTCTTCGCCGCAGAGAGCTACGAGTTAGGCTTGAAATAAGCTATTTACACATCGATATTTATCGATTATCGCAATGTTATCGATAAAAACGAAAACAAACTCTTGCGGCTTGTGTTATTCGAAGCTGCGTCTTGAAAGTCTCGTGCGTACAAAAACTAAAAGTTGTAAATCAGAAAAGCTTGGCTCAAAATCGATATTTATCGATTTGTGCAGAGTTATCGACAGCTAATTGTTTCTGCTTGTGTTATACAAGAAATTGATTTCCACATAGAGAGTGTATGCTTTTTTAAAAACCACAAAATTTGCACAAAAACTTGGGCTCAAAATCCGTATTTATCGATTTTTCACAAAAATAAGCATTTATCGATAATTTGCAATAGACATGAACTTCTCTTGGCAACACATAGTTTCTGAGACAAATGCTCAATTATTAATATACCCATTTTGCACAGTTACAGGGTATTACAAGAACAGGAAACGCAGTCGAACTTCTGGCCAGGAGCCAAAAGCTTCTTGGGCTTAACTCTGGCGTGTCTGGCTGTCATGATTATAAGGTTTAGAATTCCATAGAGTGCCACCCATCCCATCCCCTGCACCTCCACCTCCACCCCTCACCCTCTCTCCGTTTAACCACCTTACGCCCCGCCACGCAACAAACAGCAGCTGTAATAAAAACGAACCACAATTTGTGCCACAATTCGTAACGAGGGAATTGATGGAAGAAGCGCAAAATTAATATTCCATATAAACCATTTCCTTGGGTCTAGAATTTCCGACAAAAAAAAAATTTTTCATTGGCTCTGGACATTTTCTACAAGATATCAATACAATAGAAGAATAGAATGTAACAGAAGCAAAAAGCGAGAGCAACAATAACTGAGCTTTAAGTTAAAGAGCTTTAATAGCTGAGCTTTTATTTGAAGAGTTTCATGCAGTTGATGAGCTTAAGCATAGTTGAAGAGCTTTAAGAATTTGCAGAGTTCTAAGAACCTAGCTTTAAGAAGCGAGCTTCCTGTTGCAGAGCTTTAAGAAATTGTAAAGCTTTTAGAATCGAGCTTTAAGAAGTTGAAGGCCTAAAGAAAAGTTAAAGGACCCCATGAACGTGAAGAGCTTAAAGAATTTAAAGCGCTTTAAGAATTTGAAGAGCTTTTAGAGCCGAGCTTTAAGTTGCAAATTTTCTTGCAAAAAATTGGAAAAAATTTCTTTATTTGAAGAAAAAAAAAACTTAAAACAAAACGAAAAGTAAATGTGTTTTTTTCTTAAAATAATTTTCTCGAATTTGTTATTTCGTAGAAATAAAGGCATATTCCGGGCATTCCAAGTATATTTTGTAATGAAAATGCCTTAAAGTTTTCGCGCAAACACACCCCCTCACCCCCCCTTCGATCCGGATGGCTTTATTTTTACAGTTGACTGAGTGGAAAAGTCCTGCGGAAAAAAAAGTCAACATTGTCTGACTTTGATCAGTTTTTTTTTGCAGCGAGATAAAAGCAGCAAAGAACTTCATCTACAGCAACAGCCGCAACGTCTTCTTCTTCTTCTTCTTCTTCTTCTGCTACCACTCGCCTTAGTGCTTCTTCTTCTGCTGCTGCTGCTGCTGCTGCTGCTTGCCGCACTTGTTGCATGAAAACGGGGAAAAGCGACCGCAAAAAAGCGTTTGTCGGGGTCCGGCATTTGCCGCTGGTTATAAATCAAGTGCCAAAACTGCAGACTGCAGTTGCTAAGTGTGTGGTGGGGATATTTGAGGGGGGACAGCGTCAGCAAGGGCGCTGCCACTTGCACTTGCTGCGGAGAGAGGGCAGAGAAGTGGGCGAGGGTTTATGTCAAGTGGCAGTCAAGCGAGCGCTGGCAAAGAACTTGAAAAACTGCCGCAAACGTTGTCTGCTCCTTCACAAGTTGCCCGAAAGCATCAGCAAATATATATATATATCCATATCTATATATCTTTATATCTTCATGTATATACATACATATGTATATGAATATTTGCATATAGCACAAGTATCTGTAGCATGGCCCTGGCCAAGCGACATGACCATAAAGTTGTTATTTTTTTCGTCCCTTTTCATTTCCCAGCACTCTGTTAGGAAGTTTATCTAAGTATATAAGATATATATATATATGTGGACATATATATGCCTGATCAGTTCTGTATGCAACTGCGGCTCTTAAAATTGTACATCAATTGCTTTAAACATCGTCTGGTATTTTGTACTTGTTCTTAGTTTTACTTTCTTAAAGAACTTCGTAAACATTTTATGGCATGCGTTCCATCAGCCTTTGCGAACTCAGCTCCCAGTGAACTTATTAAGCTGAATCTTGGTATAGATGCCTATTAGACCCTCGAATGGAAGATATATGGGTATTATCAGAATCGATCCACATTCTTATACAGTTACCTATGTGAACTCAGCTTCCAGTGACCTTATTAAGCTGAAACTTGGTATAGATGCCTATTAGACCCTCGAATGGAAGATATATGGGTATTATCCGTATCCATCCACTATATCATACAGTTACCTATGTGAACTCAGCTCTCAGTGAACTTATTAAGCTGAAACTTGGTATAGATGCCTATTAGACCCTCGAATCGAAGATATATCGGTATTATCAGAATCGATCCACCATGTCATACAGTTACCTATACGAACTCAGCTTCCAGTGAACTTATTAAGCTGAAACTTGGTATAGATGCCTATTAGACCCTCGAATGGAAGATATATGGGTATTATCCGTATCCATCCACTATATCATACAGTTACCTATACGAACTCAGCTTCCAGTGAACTTATTAAGCTGAAACTTGGTATAGATGCCTATTAGACCCTCGAATCGAAGATATATCGGTATTATCAGAATCGATCCACCATGTCATACAGTTACCTATACGAACTCAGCTTCCAGTGAACTTATTAAGCTGAAACTTGGTATAGATGCCTATTAGACCCTCGAATGGAAGATATATGGGTATTATCCGTATCCATCCACTATATCATACAGTTACCTATACGAACTCAGCTTCCAGTGAACTTATTAAGCTGAAACTTGGTATAGATGCCTATTAGACCCTCGAATCGAAGATAT